AAAGGAACTCTTAAGGCATCAGCATAACAAGACATTTTGGACAATTTAATGCTCCCAACTTTGTGGGAACAGTTTGGGGATGGCCCCTTCCTGTTCCAACATGACTGTGAACCAGGACACAAAGCAAGGTCCATGAAGACATAGATGAGAAAGTTTGGGGTGGAGGCACTTGAATGGGGCCTGACCTCAACCCGATAGAACATCTTTGGGATGAATTAGAGTGGAGACTGCGAGCCAGGCCTTCTCGTCCGACATCAATGCCCGACCTCACAAATGTGCTTCTGGAAGAATGGTCAAATATTCCCATAGACACACTCCTAAACCTTGTGGACAGCCTTCCCAGAATAGCTGCAAAGGGTGGGCAAACTCAATATTGAACCCTACGGACTAAGACTTGGATGCCATTAAAGTTTGTGTGCATGTGAAGGTAGGCGTCCCAATACTTTTGGCAATATATCTGTCTGGAGCACTGACAGTGAGGATTCAGTGCGGATTAAAAAAGAGTCCTGTCTGATTTCTGAGCAGTGCACTCCGGTTCAGGTATGGATTACAGGCTATTAACTTCTATGGGAACTGTTTCTAACCCGCACATGACAGGTAAACCTGTCCTGAACCTCCGTAAACCTGACAGAACAACTACTGTATCAATTAGCTGTGAAACCTGAGCTTCAATCCGCACCGCACATGTGTGCTTCAGCACTCAAGGTTAGGCTTGTGAGCACCAACCCAGAACTCTACCTTTCTGCAAAAAAATTGCCAGGTTATATGAAAAATGTAATCTATATTTTAGAATGGCCTGATATATTTGCCTCAATAAACTTTTCTATCTCACCTAACAATCATTTTTGACTCCACCTAATGCTTAGATCCTTCTGCTGCTCTTTGGAACGTGGGAATTAGCTGCATAGAGGATTTCATACTTTACTAAATAAATAATCTATGTCCATTTAAAACATTGTCTGATTGAGAATGAAGGTATCTTTTTCTGTTATGATCACCTGAATACCCAAAAAGTATTTAGACTAAATAACCCATTCATGAGCAGGCATGCATTTGCTAGCGTTTGTATTGGAGCTGATACTCTGGCAGACGGGAAGTATGAATTTGATATTAGAAGTCTACCAGTTTCCTGAAGGATGAGCACAACCACAACCGCAGCTTCACCAACCTCTGTCTATAAAGCAGTGTACAAAACCACTTACGTCTGGGGATTAGATCTCAAGGCTGATGGAAATATAAACATCTTTTGCTTGTTCCCAGAATAATGGATTAGTCTGCTGCTGGTGTTATGCCAAAATTATAAATTAAATGAACCTTAAAGCCCAACTTTGTGAAAATGTAAAGTGATCCTTTGCAATGGGGCTGTGCCTGTACTGCAGAGGTTAATTGCTGGTTTTGTCTAGGGGAGAAGAGAAACAGTTTTACTTATCTGGTCCTCAACTATTCTAGCAGAAGGTGCGCTCCCAAACTCTGGCAGTAGACTGTCAGTAACACCACGTCCAATGCAGGGGCATGGAGCCTGCTTCTGTCTTGATGACATCAAGATTCTAGACTTATGGACAGCATGGAGGAATGCAGGATTGGGTAAGTAAATAATCTTTTTTCTGCTTCCCAAGACCTAGGAAAGTAATTCATCCTTTTAGTGCGGGCACAGCACCATTGCAGAGGATCATTTTTTAATTGTCTGGAACTGGGCTTTAAATGGAAGGGTTTTTTTTTCTGGTCGGTGTCAAGACTGATATTTGCTGAGTCTTTGAATTTGTTCCTGAATTTATTTCTACATGTTTGCTTCTCAGTTAGCTAAGTACTGTAACTACAAGGTTAAAACAAGGTACTTATTGGGACAGCTCCCGGGGACACAGATTCAACACATTCAGTAGGTATAAATAATTCCAAAATGTATTAGTCACATAATACAAAAGTTCAAAAGAATCACAAAAGTTTAAAAGAATACAATATTCTTTTTTGTGACAAAATACAAAGACCACTTACAGCGGGTAAAATAAGTATTGAACACGTCACCATTTAAATACATTTCTAAACATGCTATTGACATGAAATTTTCACCACATGTCGGTAAGAAGCCATGCAATCCATACATACAAAGAAACCAAAACAAATAAGTTCAGAAATTAACTTATGTGTAATAAAATGGAATGACACAGAGAAAAAGTATAGAACCTGCTAACTGAAATTTATTTAATACTTCATATACAATCTTGTGTTGGTAATGACAGCTTCAAGATGCCTCCTATATGGAAAAACTAGACGCATGCATTGCTCAGGTGTGATTTTGGCCCATTCTTCCACTCAAATCTTGAAGGTTCCGTGGGCCTCTTCTATGAACTCTGATCTTAAGTTCTTTCCATGGATTTTTATTTGATTCAAGTCAGGTGATTAGCTGGGCTTTATTTTCTTTTTATTTTCTTTATTTGAAACCAGTTCAGAGTTCCCTTGGCTTTGTGTTTGGGATCTTTGTCTTACTGAAATGTCCACCCTCGTTTCATCTTCATCATCCTGGTAGATGGCAGCAGATATTTATCAAGAATGTCTTGGTACATTTTTCAGTTCCGCTTTCCTTCAATGAAATGAAGTTTGCCAGTACTGTATGCTGCAAAACAGCCCCACACCATGATGTTCCCACCTCCAAACTTTGCTGTTGGTATGGTGTTTTTGGTGTGATGTGTAGTGTCATTTGACCTCCAAACATGGTGTGTATTATGGCAGGCCTTGAAATTTACACTCGCCTCCTTGCATTGGTGAGTGGAAATAAGGTGGGGGCGAGTGTGTCCCCCAGGGCCATCTTGCTGAGCAGGCTCGGAACTCAGGGCTGGCTCCGTCACTCGCACTGGGAGCCGTCAGACTGCTCAATAGTTGAGCAAAGTGAAAGCAAAGGAAGGAGTGCGTGCTGTGCTCTCTGCCTCCCCCTAGAGTGCAGTACCCGGCTCTGTGAGTGAAGGTAATGAAGTACTGTACTGCAACTTTTTATAGGGCTGTGTACGTGTGTGTGTGTGCGAGTATCTGTGTGCGCGTGTGTATCTGTGTGTGTGTGTGTGTGTGTACATGTGTCTGTGTGTGTGTATGTACATGTGTCTGTGTGTGTATCTGTGTGTGTGTATGTACATGTGTCTGTGTGAGTATGTGTATCTGTGTGTGTGTGTATCTGTGTGTGTGTGTATGTACATGTCTGTGTGTGTGTATACGTTTGTGTGTGTACATGTGTGTGTGTACATGTGTTTATGTGCATGTGTGTACGTGTGTGAGTGTGTACATGTGTCTGTATGTGTGTGTTTAAGCATACATGTATGGGTGGTTTGGTCAGGTTTAGGATGATGTGGTTATTATGGGTGGTAGAGGATGGGGTATTTGAGGTATTGCTGGGTTGGATAGAAGGTAGGATATGCTTGGTAGAGTTATGGTTTGGTGAGTGAGAGATTATGGTTGTATGCGGTGCATGGTCTAAGTATGATGTAGTTCTTAGGGGGACATTGGAGGTCCTGACGTAATATGGAGGGACATTGGGACCCTTACATAATGTGGGGGACTCTGGGGACCCTGATGTAATATGGGGAGACTCTGGAGACCCTGATGTAATGTGGGTAACATTTAACAGTGTCATTTCATGAGATAATTTACGAGGGCATGTTTAGGGGCAGAATTAGGGGCGGGGCAGTGTAGGGGTTGGGTGAGGCAACTGGTGGCGAGCAACTTTTAAGGTCTGGCTAGTAGCTTAGGACTTGAAATTTTGAGCCCTGTATTATGGCATCCAAAGAGTTCAATTTTGGTCTCATCTGACCAAACTATATTCTCCCAGTATTTCATAGGCTTGTCTAAATGTTGTGCAGCAAACTTCAAACAAGCTTCAACATACTTTTTCTTCAGCAATGAAGTCTTGTGTGATAAGCGTGTACACAGGCCATGGCGGTTGAGTGCATTACTTATTATTTTCTTTGAAACAATTGTACCTGTTAATTCCAGGTCTTTCTGAAGCTCTCCACAAGTAGTCCCTGGCTCTTGGACAACTCTTCTGATAATTCTTTTCACTCCTCTGTTAGAAATCTTGCGAGGAGCACCTGGTCGTGACCGGTTTATGGTGAAATGATGTTCTTTCCACTTCCGGATTATGGCCACAACAGTGCTCATTGGAGCATTTAGAAGTTTAGAAATCCTTCTGTAACCAATGCCAGCAGTGTATTTTGACACAACAGGGTTTGCAAAGGTCTTGAGAGAGCTCTTTGCTTTTTCCCATCATGAGATGTTTCTTGTGTGACATGTTAGTAATGAGATATCTTCTTATAGTCCATCAAGTGAGACTGAACTAGCTGATATTAATTTGCACTGACAAGGGGCAGGATTTCTTTCTAATTAATGATAGATTTCAGCTGGTGTCTTGGCTTTCCATTCCTTTCTGCACCTCCCTTTCTTCGTGTATTCAATACTATTTTCCTGTGTCAGTCCATTTTGTTACACATAACCTAATGACTGAACCCATTCATTTTGGTTTCTGTATGTATGGATTGCATGGGTTGTTACCGACATGTGGTGAAAATGTCATGTCAATAGCACCTTTAGAAATATATTTACTAAGAAAAATGGTGATGTGTTCCATACTTATTTTACCCACTGTATATATATGCACCAAACTCTCAAGACTGGCAGTGAAAGGGTTATAAGACATCCATGCAATTCCATTGATCTAAATATAGTGGTCTCAATTGGTCAGGACCTAAAGTGATTGTAAACCTTCAATCCCACCGCCTTTTACCACGTGATCAGCGGTGTCCAATGACACGCTGATCACAGGGAAATGCAAGTGCCGGTTCTCGGCTGCACTTTCCTCACGCTGTCAGATCGTGAGGAAAGTACTGCCGAGAACCGGCAGTTGTCAGAGCGGGGATCGGCACCGATCATCAGGGCACTGATGATCAGTGCCCTGATGATCGGTGCCCAGCAGTGACACCCGCAAGTTCCGCCCAGCAGTGCGCCCACTAGCCCCGCCCACCCGTTCCCAGCAGTGCCCCCACCTGTGCCCAGCAGTGCCCCCACCTGTGCCACTCTGCAGTGCCACCTACCTGTGCCCAGAAGTGCCACCTACATGGGCCCAGCAGTGCCACCCACCTGTGCCCACCAGTGCCACCCACCTGTGCCCACCCACCAGTGCTGCCCACCAGTGCCACCCACCAGTGCAGCCCAGCAGTGCTGCCAGTCAGTGCCACCAGTCAGTGCCCAGGGGTTGTGCCAGTCAGTGCCGCCAGTCAGTGCCCAGAAGTGATGCCAGTCAGTGCCGTCTATCAGTACCCATCATCAGTGTCACCTATCAGTGCCGCCTATCAGTGCTGCATATCAGTGCCGCCTATCCGTGACCCCTAATTAGTGCTGTCTATCAGTGCCACCTATCCGTGCCACCTCATTAGTACTGCCTATCAGTGCCCTTTAGTGCTGCCTATCAGTGCCCATCAGTGCCGCCTATCAGTGCCCATCAGTGCCGCCTCATCAACGCAAATCAGTGAAGGAGAAAAAATACCTGTTTGAAAAATTTTATAAAAGAAACAAATAAACTTTTTTTTTTTTTTCAAATTTTTTGCACTTTTTTTAATTTATAGCGCAAAAAGTAAAGCGCCCAGTGGTGATTAAATACCACCAAAAGAAAGCTCTATTTGTGAGAAAAAAATGATCAAAATTTCATATGGGTACAATGTTGCATGACCGCGCAATTGTCAATCAAAGTGCGGCAGCGCTGAAAGCTGAAAATTGGCCTGGTAAGGAAGGGGGTATAAGTGCCTGGTAGGCAAGTGGTTAATAAAGTAACAAGTGAACTTTTCAACATTTTGTACTTTATTGAGTGGTGCATTTTAGGAGGTTTGTTAAATTTACTTTATCGGTTGAGCAAACATATTTCCAGTATTAGTTTAACTTTTGTGACACTGAAATATATTCCTTTAACCACTTCCCAACCGCCCTATAGCAGATATACTGCTACAGGGTGGCAAGGGTGCAAAAAAGTGTGTGTGTGTGTGTGTGTGTGTGTGTGTGTGTGTGTGTGTGTGTGTGTGTGTGTGTGTGTGTGTGTGTGTGTGTGTGTGTGTGTGTGTGTGTGTGTGTGTGTGTGTGTGTGTGTGTGTGTGTGTGTGTGTTCCAGAGAGCTCTGGGCACCTTAGACTGGGGCGACGGTTCATCTTTCAACAGGACAACGACCCTAAGTACACATCCCACATAACAAAGGAGTGGCTACGGGCCAACTCTGTGAATGTCCTGGAGTGGCCCAGCCACAGCCCAGACTTGAACCTGATTGAACATCTGTGGAGAGATCTGAAAATGGCTGTGCACCGACACTCCCCATCCAACCTGATGAAGCTTAGGGGTACTGTAAAGAAGAATAGGAGAAATTGCCCAAAAATAGGTGTGCCAGTCTTATAACATCATACTCAAAACGACTTGAGGCTGTAATTGGTGCTAAAGGTGCTTCAACAAAATATTGAGCAAAGGCTGTGAATACTTATGTACATGTGTTTTTTTTTCTTCATTTTTTATTTTTAATAAATTGCAAAGATTTCAAAACAAACTTCTTTCACGTTGTCATTATGGGGTATTTATTGTAGAATGTTGAAGAAAAAATTAATTTAATCCGTTTTAGAATAAGGCTGCAACATGACAAAATGTGGCAAAAGTTAAGAGCCGTGAATACTTTCTGGATGCACTGTACTGTCAGCCCAGATTCAGCCAAATGCAGCAAAATTGATTGGACGGCGCTTCACACTACAGATGGACAATGATCCAAAACACACTGCAAAAGCAACCCAGGAGCTTTTGAAAGAAAAGAAGTGGAATATTCTGCAATGGCCAAATCAATCACCTGATCTCAACCCAATTGAGCATGCATTTTACTTGCTGAAGGCAAAACTAAAGGCAGAAAGAGCCACAAACAAAGAACAACTGAAGACAGCTGCAGTTAGAGCCTGGCAAAGCATCAGAAAGGAGGAAACCCAGTCTTTGGTAATGTCCATGGGTTCCAGACTTCAGGCAGTCATTGTCAGTAAAGGATTCTCAACAAAATATTAGAAATGAACATTTTATTTATGATTATATTCAATTGTCCAATTACTTTTGGTCCCTTGAAAAAGGGGGGGGGGGGGGGGGGGGTGGCTAATTTCAAGAGCTGTAATTCCTAAACCCTTCTTCCAATTTGGATGTACATACCCTCAAATTAAACCTGAGAGTGTGCACTTTCATCCCATATCCATTGTATAATTATAGGTTGAATATGGTTTGGTAAGTACCTGAAAAAAACTAAAATTGTGCCTGCGTCCAAATATATATGGACCTGTGTTTTCAGATTGCAGAAAGGATGGAGAAAATAAATTGCCATTTTACAGGCCACATGTGGGATTCAGTGTTGCCACTATCATAATGCAGGCATAGGGATGAAAATATTACCAATAGTGAAAGTGAAAGAAAATCACTAATTTTGAGTGATCACCAGAAAAGTAACGGAGAGGAATTATTCGAATGGGGACACTAGTTTTGGTGATCCTAGTTTTGGAAGTATTGTTTCTCACTTCCTGTTGTGACTATAGAACAGAAAGTGAAGGAAAATCTACTGAATAGGCCATAGCTGGCAAAATAAAGCCTGCCAAGGGTCCTAGTACTCCCTCACTCTATCCAAAATTAAAAAATATGTTTTGTCTTCAGTTCTGCTTTAAGCTCTGGCCCCCAGTTTCCATTAATCCACATTGTAAGACAGCTTGTCATTACTAGCCACTGATGTGTGCTGTTGCTTTATGGAAACAATGGGGAGAGCTGAAATGAACACATTTCTTTTTAATGCCCCTGTGAACTTAAAAAGATATCATTTCTCATTATTTTCTGTATAGAAATACAGCAGGTTTTATTGCTACTGTATATATAAAGCAACAGCACCATCTACTGGATGCATTTATGTATTGCATTGCCCAGTATAATTCCAAACAGATTTTTTTATTGATTTATTCTCAGCATTGAAATTATTTTTAAACAGTGAATTTTAATATGGAATCGCAATCTAAAACATAATAATGCAAATATTTTGCTCAAAGCTACCACTTACTGTAGTTAGTGACATATCTCTCAAAGTTATATTATCGTGTTATCTCTATAACATAGGATATAGTCAGGCCTTGCTCAATTGACATTTGACAGATTTACTCATCTGTATATGCCACTCCAATATACACCCTGCTCCTGCTATCCAGTAATGCTCTGAACAGATGATAACAATGGAGCATTACTACTGTACAGTGGTACCTGTGATTTCCTGCATTCGTGATTTCCTGTATTCGTTAGGCTGTAAGACGAATGCATGTAAGATGTAGGTATCTGAATGGTTGTATGCACCCTATAGTATGCCAAGTACTATGTTAGTGCTTTATAGTTATGGGAAATAGTGAATCCAAAATTACAGTAATCCAGCAGGTGATAGGTGACCTATACTCAGAGCCAGTGCCAGACTACTTTGCCCTAGGCAAGGCCAGCCACTTGCGCCCCCCTCAAAAAAAAAAAAAAACAAAAAAACCCCAGAAAATATTAAATCAACAAAACATGAAATTGCTACATTTCTTTGGATCTGTAAAAATAAAGCGGTATGATTATGTCAGTATTTCTGTGCTAAAAGCGGTACATTTTTTTCAATGGAAATTTGTTGTTTTTTTATTGTAGGCCTGTAATTCTTAGGAATAACTCCCTGAAATCTTTTTAAACAAGAGTCTAGTAGACATGTTTGGTGCAATAAATTTTTATAAATTAAATCATAAATTATAATATAATAAAAAATAATAATAAATTAAATAATGTAATCAAATCAAACACACGGAACTCTGTCCAAACAATATTATACAGACACTGCATTTTTTTTTAGTAAACATCCGGGGTGTGGTAAATTTTGAAACATGGGACTGCACAAAGTCCGACATCACAATTAGGACAGTGGAACCTCGTTTCCTTGCGGATTTTTTTTCCACTGTCATCTCTCCGAGAGCAACATACCACGCACATCCTGGTAGGTGCTGCCTTTTTTGGGTTGGTGGGATGTGGTCCATAAAATGATGTCCAGTCAGACGTTCTGGGTTGACAACTTCCACGGAAAGTCGTCCGGATCTACCCACAGACACTGATGGCGTTTGGTATTTCAGGAAGATGTATTCCGCCAATTTCCATATAAAGTCCGCATGAACCACAGGCTTTTCACTGTGTTTGCGGAACAGAACATATGCATTCCACAAACACTGCTCCAAAAGATGCCGGAAAATCTTTTTATAATACTTTCTCTGCTGCTTTCTCATCGCAGGATAAAACGTCATAGCTTGGTCAGCTCTGTCGACACCTCCCATGGCTTTGTTGTAGTCCATGACAACCTGCGGCTTCTGGATGTTTTTGCCACCTTTTGTTTGGACCATCACTGTGGAGGCATTGTGAATGGTACTCATCAGGCACACATCCTTCTTGTCCCACCATCTCAGTGCCATTATTTTGCCTTTCTGCCAGGCAACTAATTCTCCCGACTTTAGTTTGTTTTTTCCAAACATTGATGGCAGGTTATGCCGGTTAGCCCGAACGGTTCCGTAGGCATCCGTTCTGTGTTGAAGAAGAACCTCAAAGTTCTGGTGAGGTGTAAAAATTGTCCGTCATTATGCGGTAGCCTTGGTTTAGCAGAGGCTCGATTAGTGACAGGACGGATGATGTTGCCAGTCTGTAGCTGCTGTACTTAGGATCAAATTTTGTTCCTTTGCCGGTGTATATGACTGCATTCCAGATGTAGCCGGTAGAGGATTCGCACAGCAGATAGGATTTCACGCCAAATCGTGCTCTCTTGGACTCAATGTACTGTATCCAGCTGAGCCTTCCTTTGTAGGCCATTAGACTTTCGTCTATGCTATATCCCTCTCTGGCACATAGCTCTGCTGGAAATTTCATACAATTACTTGGTAGAGTTCCCAAATTTTTTTTAGCTTGGGAGTCGGATGACTTGTTTCATCAAAATCCTCATTATTTGCAAAGTGCAAATATTTCATAATGAAGGAAAAATTGTACTCCGACATGACGGTGCCAAAGAACAGCATGGCGAGCATTTTGTTGGTGCTCCAGTACCACTTCTGCAGTGGTTTCCCCACCACTCCTTGCAGAATAATTAGGCTGAGAAACAACCAAATGTCCTCTTTGGCGACAGGCTCCCACTTTCTGCTGTGTGAAAAGCGGCTCTGTGGAGCACCCATTTGTTGCGCTGCGTACCGGTTTGTCTCTCCGTCACAATAATTTCAATGACCTCATTGGTCATAAACAATTCCAAGTATGCCAAGGGATTGTCACCTTCAACGTGTATTTTCATACCAAATGTGCCGGTAAATGGAAATCTTGGTGGCGCTGGCATATCGAAATCAATAGTGCACCATGTGCACAGATCACTCA